GCTGGCCTCCTGTATGAGTCCCTGCTGCTCCACTTCAGACCCACCTCCCTGCTAATGCACCTGGGAAAGCAGCGGATGTACCATCCATGGGGGAGACCAGGGTGGAATTCTAGGCTCTTGGCTTCCACCTAGCCCAGCTCTGGCCATTATAGCCATTTGGGGAGTGAAACAGATGGGAAATCGCTATATGTAACTCTACCTTTCAAATATATAATTTTTTAAGTATTCCTTTCAAATTCTGGCCACAAAGGTTTTGGATTAGGGGATTGTAGACCTGCACTGTCACCGGGTCTTCATCTAGTACCCCAGCAGATTTTCCCATTGTGATCTCATTTTATAATCTGTGATGCTGGCACAGTGGTGTCTTCCTAATTTTCTAAATCGGCAGTTTTTAGTAATTTTGTTTACAACAAGCTTACCAATAGAGGCCAGATCACGAGAAATTTTGAAACATGGCAAGACTTTGGATGAATGGGACTGGGAAAAGCTCTTCAGTATTTTGAACAGGGGGGTTCTGTTTTAGGCTGTCCCGCGGCTGAAATGGAAGTATGGTGTGAGTTCCTGGGAGAGTAGTAGACGCAAGGTTGGGCCCTGGAGGCTTGAGGCTTGTTCCTCAATGAGAGTATATAGATTCAGACACCCTGTGGAAGTGTGGGTGACCAAGGCTGGCAACATTCATGCTCTGATGAAATATTTCTTCTCTCCTCAGCCCTCCCACCGCGTAACAGGATGTAGGGAGTGGAGAATGTCTAGGTACAAGATTACACACTCCATGGAGGTGCCGTTTCCCGCAATTTAATCAGGGAACCATTTGGGAATGGTTTTCAAAACTCTAGAGGCAGCGCTCTAGGAAAGTTTTCAAAACTCCTAGAGGCAGAGCTCAAAAAGAAAAAACAAAGGTAGAAGTCTTTATTTTTTAATTGAAGCCAACGCTAGGGTTACTGCTGCAGCGCCTGGATCAAAGTGCACCTTTATCTTACTGGATACAATTAAAGAATGGGGGCAGCTCAGGATTGATCCCCAAAGGCCGAGCAGAGCAGGCAATCACTGGAGAGAGAAGGCCTGCCCTCCTGAGAGCAGACGAGACAGTCATTTTAGGAAACTAAAAATAGGGCTAGTATGTTCAATGAGCAGATGTTTTCTCTGTAAGAGGCACTGTGCTTGAATCCGGGAGCGTGACAGGGACAGAAACAAATATGGACAGCTGGAGGCTGTCAGAGTGGACCAGCCACGCAAAACCCAAAGTGGCGCCTGTGACGATGTGTTATTTAGAGATTTTGTTAACAAGGGGGCCTGACCACAGTTAATTCCACCACTCAGAAATAATTAGTACTTTTGGTACACGACCATTATTTTTGCTAATCACAGATACATGAAAATACACCTCTTCCACAAAATAGGTATCATCTTGTGCTTAACAGTATTACAACTTCCATCTGCCACAATTTTAAGTGGGCTGGTTTATTCTCTTTGGCTCAGTACTAGCATTAGTCATTGTGGTGCAGGCCTCCCCCAAGTCAGAGAAAAGACATTTTCCATAGAAATAATGAAATGTGGTCATTATCTGCTTATCTATTAAATGCTTCAACTGCTTCTAAGTAACCATTTCAGGTTCTGCTTGCTACTACAGAGCAATCGTGTTAACCCATTAGAGGTAGAGCTCAGTTATTGTGTAGGAAAAAAACCACCAGCAGTAACTATATATGCATGTGCAGTATGGTTTCAACTCCTGTGGCCGTCATATAACATTAGAATTCCAATCAAATGTATGCACATAGCCATGTAAGGCAAAGAAGCTAAAACTGTATGTAAGAAAACACCTGTCTTTGTTCCGGGCCCAGTCTTTTTGGCTATGAATCCAACTAAGTCTTATGCTGGCATAAACGAAGACCGCTTCCTGGCCATCGTATCTCATCTCTGTTCACAAACTCCACTATACACCTTACGACTTTAGTAGACATAGCGCAAGTGTGATTTGTAATGTCTTTTACATGGAAACTTCACTGAACAGTGGAAGAAAGTGCAGGCAACAAGGAGGTCACATAGCAGATCAGCTTATGAAGCTAATTCAAACTGTTTTAAAGCTCAGTACTAGTCACTCAAATTTCTATCACTTACAAATACATTCAGAAGAAAATAAGAGCATTTCTAAAATACAAAACCTAAAAGAATACAAACCTAAAAGAACATACTCAGAATTCTGAATGCAACTATTAGCTCCTACCAAGAACTTACTTATGTTCACGCAATTAAGCCACAGTTGGTGAAAAGGGTAGGCTAAGAACTGAAACGTCTCTCTTTTTGAAATGTTTGTTCCTTTAACCTAGATTTTCCTGTAAGGAATTTTAAACAGCTGAAGATTAGTCTACTCTGATGCCATTCTCTTCTTGATTTCTTATCAGTTTCTAGAAGAAATAATGTCCAACTCAGGAACTAGATCTCTTTTTTTCCTCATAAAAAGGCCTCACCTCGGGGGCCCATACCGTGGCTCACTTGGTTAGTCCTCCACCTGTGGCGCCAGCATCCCATATGGGTGCCAGGTTCTAGTCCCGGTTGCTCCTCTTCTAGTCCAGCTCTCTGCTGTGGCCTGGGAGGGCAGTGGACGATGGCCCAAGTGGTTGGGCCCTGCACCTGCATGGGAGACCAGGAGGAAGCACCTGGCTCCTAGCTTTGCATCGGCACAGTGCCGGCCATAGCAGCCATTTTGGGGGTGAACCAATGGAGGGAAGACCTTTCTCTCTGTCAAATAAATTAAAAAACAAAACAAAACAAAAAAAAGCCTCATCTCTTCCAAACTTTAGAAAGTCTGGGGGCCTGTGCTGTGGCACAGCAGGTGAAAAGCCCCTGCCTGAAGTACCGGCATCCCGTATGTCCTGGCTGGTCCACTTCCGATTTCAGCTCTCTGCTAAAACGCGTGCGCCCACATGGGAGACCAGGAAAAAGCTCCTGGTTCCTGACTTTGGATCCGCTCAGCTCCAGCCATTGCGGCCATTTGGGGGAGTGAACCAGCAGATGGAAGACCTCTCTCTGTCTCTAACTCTCTATATAACTCTTTCAGATAAATCTTTAAAAAAAGAAAAGTCTGCTAACTCCCCCACTTTACAGTAGTGATCACTGTACAGCCAATGAGAAGATACAGGGTGAATCCTGAAACATATACAACTGGTGATCACATCAGCTCTGCTGTTAATGTTAGAAATGGGATGTTCAGCACATACATTTCATGTTTTGTAATTTCTAACAAATGAGAAAAATCTTATTTAGCTAGAATTATATGCCTGAAGTCATATCCTTTATTTATTTATTTTTTTGGTCTTCTCTGCTACCTTCTTGAAGAAAACATACTTTTTTTTTTAAAGATTTTTATTTATTTATTTGAGAGGTAGAGTTACAGACAGTGAGAGGGAGAAACAGAGAGAAAGGTCTTCCTTCCGCTAGTTCACTCCCCAAATGGCCGCCACAGTGGGAGCTGCACCGATCCGAAGCCAGGAGCCAGGTGCTTCCTCATGGTCTCCCATGCGGGTGCAGGGCCCAAGCACTTGGGCCATCCTCCACTGCCTTCCCAGGCCACAGCAGAGAGCTGGACTGGAAGAGGAGCAACCGGGACTAGAACCCGGCGCCCATATGGGATGCCGGCACCAGCACCGCCGGCAGAGGATTAACTCAGTGAGCCACGGCGCCAGGCCCAAAAACATACATTTCTAAAGCACTTGTGCAAGCACAGTACTTGCAAAAATAGAGGCTTGCAAATATTTGACGGCTAATAGAAACAAGAAAACATAAGGAAAATATTTAAATTTCAGGATAATTTCACTATCATTTTGATAAGTACTAGAATTTGGTTCAAATTTGTATGTTAAGTCTTCACAGAATAAGCAGGCTTTAAAAATGTGTCAGAAGGCCAGGCGTGTGGCATAGGGCTAAATCAACACTTCAGATGCCCACAACCTCTATCAGAGGGCTTGGGTTTCAGGCTTGGCTTCCTTTCTGATCCAGCTTCCTGCTAATGTGCACTTTTGGAGGAAGCAAGTGAAGACATAAGTCCCTGCATCCCCACAACCCACATGGAAGACCTGGATTCAGTTCTAGGCTCCTGGCTTTGGCCTGGCCCAGCGCTGGCTTATTGTGGTCATTTGGCAAGTGAACCAAAGATCAGAAGGCCTCTCCATCTGTCTTCCTTTCACATAAAATATATAGGAAAAAAAATCAACGTAATACTGAATAAATGAGCATTGCATAAATGGGCTCATAGAAAATAAGGAGATTAATCCAGACACTCAAATAAATGGAACCAGCCCATTCTTGGAGGAACTTGATTATAAAAGAATGGAGCTGGATTTCTGTAGTAAAAAAATCTGAATTATCGGAAGTACATAATACAAAATGATGAGAAAATAAAATGTTAAAATTTGGAAATACCTGCTCCTATGTTATATAGTTTTTCACACCGGCATTTGTCATGTATATGGACTATGGCTGGGAAAACCTTATTATCTCTGATTGGTACTTAGTGGTAACACACAGCCAGTTAAACTCCCTTGGGGTTCTCAGCACATCTCTAACTATTGCCTATGCAAATTCATAAACCCTTAGTTATTCGAAGTGCCCACTTTTATTTTTCCACTGATAGCAAAGCCAGTATGACAAAACAAGCTTTATTTTATGAAATACTATGTGATATGAACTCTACTGCAAAAGAAGAGAACAAATTATTTCTACTTATATAGTTCAAGAGGAAGAGAAATAGTGTGACTGGAGCTCCAGGAAATAAAAGATGTTTGAGTAGAGAAACAAGAAAAAATACATCATCCAAGATGAGGTAAACGGCACCAGGAGCCACTGAAAACTACTCAGTGCAATATGCCTAGGAATAAATGGAACAGAGACTGTATACATTTGCATTGTAAATAATTGTGCATCATACTAACTTAAAAATGTATAATTAAAACCTAATAACTAATCTAATGAGAAGCATTCACAAAGCATAATGTAGGCAAACATGTTTAAAAAAATATTTTAATAAGCATATTCAGAATGGCAGACAGGGAATGGGAGAAGGGAATTATTTTACAGTGCAAAATTACTATGCATAAATTTAAAAACATCTAATTCATAATTTTAAATTCCTATTTAAATATTACTTCAAATACATTTTAAAGGTCAAGAGATTTGTACTGAACTGAGTTGCAGATTCTGAACTCTGTTTAAAAACACATCAGGAAACAGAAAACCATTCCAAATGAGAATGATAGTGCTTTGCCAGGCTTGGGGATGGGGTGGCAGTCTAAGTAACTATTAACAAAAGCTTCTTTTCCCAATGCAATTTGTCAAGAGTTCAAAGGTTATGAAATGTACTAAATGTTAAGCAAATTAAATTCATGATATTACTAAACATTTTTAAATAGTGCAATGACTTATCAAGTTCTAGTGGCTGCATTATGAACAAAGTACTATGTAAAATACCTGTATAAACACAAAATACAATTAAATATTTCTTTATGAAAAGCTGAGAATTATGTATCATAGTGGAATGTCTTTAGGCATACTTTAAAAAGACAATAAAGTAAAATTTCCTAACATTTATACATGTGCCGTATTTGCAAACATGCCTGAGAATTTACTTAAAACATTCCTATAATAGTTTGCAAGAATTTTAAAAAAACCTGCAAACAAAAATTCATCTTTTAATAAAAGGTAAAAATGGAAATTCTAATATTGCAAAGTTTGAAAAGTACAGCATCACCATTCTTTTGAAACATTTCTGTAGTTATCTTTGACAAACAGCTAGGATGCTTTGGATTCATTTAATAAAATTTGATTTAAAAAATGGATTGTGATCATCTGGTAAAACTGCTATTCTGGATAAATTAATGTTTTAAGTAAAACAAAACAACAACAAAAATTCACGTTTCTCAACACTTCCACCCAAAACTTTGATTTACTTGGATATGCATATAATGACAGTGAATGTATACTTTATGAAGTCAAGTGTTGTAAAGTGGCTTTTAACACTGTTTGGGAAAAAAAGTTGTTCACATTCGTGAAGGAAGCAGTCTGAACATATGTTAACAATAATACTTCATGGGGGTAAGGTCTAAACAATAATTTCTCAGTGCAAATCTCTCCTAAGTTGAATTAGATAGTTGAGCCATTAAAAGTAAGACCAGAGATTTATTTTCAAAAGGCAGTGGCTCTTGAACTGATGGCTGAAAATAAATCAAAGAAGCATTAGGGTATGCCTGTGTGAGAAAAACAAGAGTTAATAATATTTTATAAAAGTTGGATATAGATTGGTCTATCAGCTAGCTGTATAAAACTACATTTTTTAATAAGAATTTTGCGCTAAAAATAAAGTGGTACTCTTACAAGGCTATGAAGATGGATAATCCTATTCATAATCACACAGAGCAGTGGTTACTATGTATCTTCTTTTCATTTTGGAAAAACACTATCAAATCTGAAAAACTGGATTGTAACAGGAACGTCTGCAAACTTTTCAAACTTCATCTCATGTTCCTCATAAAAATCAGTATCATCTGCCAACAATTACTTCTTGTGTGTGCCAAAATCTAAGTATCACTTGACCTGTTCCCCTCTGTCTAATGCGAAACTGGGAAATTTTATAATGCATATAAAAATAACTCAACCGGATTCTGGTCAGCATGACACATTTAAGTATTTTAAACAGACATTAAACTTCTGCTTCAAAAATAACTCTGAAAATTATAGCAAATGCAAAACAAACTGCAATCTAAGCATCATGCTTCAATTTCAGAATTCTCAAATTATCCATCTTTATGTAGAAATTTGGAAAAAAAATTTCACAATCCTTTATGAACGCTTTTACTACCTGGATAAGAAACATGACTTGGTTACTACACAAACACTTAAAAATTCATTAGAAAAACCTTAGCAAAATAAAATGAAAGCTGACAGACTCAGAATATCAATTCCTCTCATAAAAGTTTACCAACTGTACAAGTTAAGAAAATTATACAAGCTTTTGTATTAAGAAAGGACAGCTCAGTCAAGACATATGTACTGTAAAAATCTTTCAAAGGCTACAAAGAATCTGGAAAAATACAGAATGTATTTCTTAAGCCCAGATAAGAATATGGAAAGACATCATTGATGTCAACAATTTTACATATACAAACCTGACTTGGTTTATTTTTAAACTTCTATATATAAAAAATCATGCTAGCATAACTTTCAGGATTCATAAGGGTTTCCTTAAATAATGATGTTCAATTTGTATGGAGAGAAGAATATCTATAAAGATATTTGAAGCAACTCAGAAAAATTGGTGTTAAGCAGAAATTTGAATTTGGTGTTCTGCACTCCTCTGTATCAAACTAAGCAAAAATTACCTTGTAGTGAAATTTTATGATTAATATATCAAATCAGAATATATATATATTTTAGTTCAAATTTGTTAAACTATTTTTTATATCCTTAAAAGGGTTTTTGACTATTTTAAAGTAAAAAAATTCACAAAAGGCAGGATTATGAAACCTTATTTTCTAAAGTTAGGACTCAATTCAAATTTTCAAGTTTTCACTAACTGCATCAAGGAAATCAACTTTTTAAGGTAACCCATCAACCCTGAAAATTTTAGTCACACCAGAGTTTACTCCAAACAAAGTAAAATAGGTTTAAAATTTAGTCATCTGTGTTTTCAAGTTCTTCAAATTTTCCATGTGACATTGTTTCTTGGAAAAATTCAGAAGAACCCGGACTTTCTTTTCCATTGCTGTTTATCCTTCGCCTTTTGGCAGGTCTCTCATTTTTTTCATCAAAATCATTTTCGTTTCTTGCAGTCATATGGGCAAGTTTGGGGTCAGTGGTAAGGTTATCTGTTTCATAACCATTAGTATCCATATCTGCGTGAAGTGGCTTCTTATTCCCACCTGTTGGTCCATTTATGTGTAGCCCTTCTACTTTTACTTCTTCTTTGTTTAATATTTCACCTGGTCCATTAGATGATACCCCTGAGTTGGAAAGAAAGTAAATAAAATTGCTAATATGAAATTGTTAAATTATAAACTATCACAAAACAGCTACTGTGAAACAGCTTTCATTAAGAAAGTTGTCTCAAATTTGTTCAGACATACATACACACATAAAATCTGATTTCTGGCCCTGTTCCTACTGTGTGACTCTAGGCAGGTTATTTGTGCTTTCTGTCCCTCAATTTCTTTACATATACAATGAGGATCAGAGAGATACACCTCACAGGGCTGCTGTGAAGATTAAATAAGTTAATAAAGAGAAATGAAAGAATTTGGCATAATTTAAAAGCATTTTAGGTATTATGTGACAAAAAATTGGCATAGACAGATACGTATAAATTATTCAGATTTAGTAAAAGAGCTGTAACTCTGTAAAACCATGTAGAACCAAAATCAATGTTAAGTTTCCTACTGCTGTATAAAACCAGGATGCCATGAGTTTCTTATTCTTAATGTAAATCTATGGGTCTTGTGCATTTAAAAGATAACTCTATATTTATCTGAGTAGGCTGAAGTCCTATGTCTTACTATTAAAAAAGTTGATGCTGCAGCATCCAAAAATACACAACAGAACAAAAGTTTAGTGATAGCAAGTAAAATACAGGATATACCACTAGAAAGAACTAAAATGTAATTACCTGGGAAATATTTGGTATACAGCTGAATCTCAAATATTACATTTTGGTCAAAGAAAATATTCTATTTTCCCCAAGTCAAAAATACACTCAAATCATAAATGCAGAGATTATGCAGCATATGAGACTGGAACAATTCTATAGCAGCAAGCCCCCGAAAAGCTTAGGTGAGACAGTGATTAGGCTAAAAACGATTTCAAGGAACTAACTTCTAAAAAACTTCATTGTAAGGGCCAGCATTGTGGTGTAGTAAGTAAAGCCATTGTGGCGTAGTGGGTAAAGCTGCTGCCTACAACACCAGCATTCTATTTGGGCTCCGGTTAGAGTCCTGGCTGCTCTACCTCCAATCCAGCTCCCTGCGGGAGAGCAGCAAAGATGGCCCAAGTCCTTGAGTCCCTACACCCATGTGGGAGACCCGGATCAAGCTCTTGTTTCCTGGCTAGGCAGCCATTTGAGAAGTGAACCAAGAGGTGGAAGATCTCTTTCTCTCATCCTGTCTCTGTAATTGTGCCTTTCAAATAAATAAAATAAATCTTTAAAAAATAAAACCCCACCCCATTATAAATGAAATAAAATTGAGTTAAGAAGTTCTATCCTTTCTTTGGAAAATCTAGAGAACTGACTAATACCTGATGTAAGTGAAAAGTAAGTTCTCATCAAATACTAAAAGAAAAAAATGATTTGGTCCTAAGATGTTAAACAGGAAAAAAGAGACTCACAGTCAGAGTCTCAGCTTCTTACTGTACTTTAAAATGGATGCAGCTGGCATTAGACATCATGTCAATGAATCTTCTTGGATCAGCATACTGTTACTGGACCCTAAGTTTTTTTTTTCCCCCTGGCTTATTCTTAGAAGGGGAAGTAGTGAGGGGACAGAGAGCAGTCTTGACATGAACTAAGTATAGACACTCCAGTAGCAACGTTAAGGATGGGACTAAAGTTCAGAAAAAGGATCAAAGTTTTCACTGTGGGGCCAGCATTATGGGTTAAGCTGCTGCCTGCCACACCAGCATCCCATATGAGCGCAGGTTTGAGTCCTGACTGCTCCACTTCCAATCCAGCTCTCTGCTAATGCTCCTGGGAGCTCCTGGCTTTGGCCTGGCTCAGCTCTTGTAGTTACAGCTATTTGGGGGAATGAACCAGTAGACAGAAGATACCTCTCTTTCAAATAAATAAAAAAAAAGCTCTCATTACATTTCTCTTCCAGTTTCTATTAAGGGAAGGTTAGCTCTCCACTGGCCCTCCCCCATCTCTTATTCACCAGTTTCCTCCTACAGAGTAGTGCCTGGGGGTGGGGCTTATTTTTCTGCTTGGCTACTCTTACTTAGGAAGACCATTCTAAAGCAAAAAATCAGTTATTTTTTGACTAATTCTTGCTTGTAACTGTCAGCACAATGATTTCTGGTTTGTTGTATATTTTAAAAAAACACTATCTGAACCTCAAAACACATTGGTATGTTTTCTTCTCTTTTTTAAGGAGAAAAAAATCAGTGTTTCTGTGAAATATTAATGTCTAACACTTCATATTTTCTCATTCTTCGATGTTATAATGTTATCAAAGAAAAGTACTCAAGACAGTACCCTTGTTATCTACTTCTTTTCATCTATAAACTATTTTCCTGATTGTTAAAAACTTTCAAGGTATTTCATAAATACTTCTGATATGAAATGGCTGCAGTTTTCATATAAGAACTAATGGAAATACTTATATCCAGGTATCATGTCAGCAAGACCAAGACAAAAAACAAAAAACATAAAGACAAAAAAAATGCTCCTGAAAGAAAATCTTTCTGAAAAGAAATGATAGCTATTAACAGTAAGCTTCATTAAAGTTACTTCTTAGTGATGATGGTCAATGAGCAGTCTATCCAATCACTTTGTATTCTGCGGTAGTATTAATGTACAGTGATATTATATATGCTTCATCTGTTACTTGCAATTTTTATTTTCTGCTTTGGAAGCTTAAAAGGAACCCAAACTGAATATTCTTAAGCTACTAAAAGCACAGTGCCTCTTATTATGAAGCAATAGAAACATTTCTTTGGTTGCTTACCATTTTGATTACTACTGCTTGTAGTGCCATCTTCTTTCTCAGATTGGCTGTTACTACTGTTTGAAGCAGTTGGGGGAGGGGATGGTGCTCTGCTAGAAGCAGCACTTTCACTTTCATCCAGAAGACGATCCATGTAATCCCTTAAAATAAAATAAAATAAAAGCCAATTATCTTCTATTAAAAAAGCCTAAAATTTAAATTTCTTGAGGTTAAATTTAGAACTCTTTATTAATAAATATGAGTATATATGACTTTAAATATTTTTACACCCAAAACTTATATTTTAATACTATTTTCCATGAACTTTTTGAAATACCTTCATATTCCAATGCCTCATCTACTGCACCAGCATCTGAACAGTTAAATGGAAAGCACCTTTTGATTACACTTTATAGGGGAAAATGCACAAAGGCTTTAAACTAGCAAATTTTAAAGAATTAAATGAAGTTTAAAACATTTTAAATTGTATGCAAATGCTCAAGTGGCCCAACTAAAACTGGAGGGTCTGTAAGGGAAGAAATAGGGATGATGTCATCAGGAATACAAAAGAATATGCCGACAGGATTTTAAGGATCTTAAAGGCATTACCTGAAAGACAAAGTAGGGCCTATAAAAAAAGGACTAATCACCTCCCAAAACCTTCCTAAATATATTCTGTATTACATTTGAGCTTTAATAAGCTAACTAAATTCCTAGGCATATTTGCTGGCTTTATCCTATCATTATCTCATTAGAGATTAGCTTATTTCTTCCCTAAGTCATTCCTGAACTACATAGTTATAAGTAAGTGACAACTGTCTTGATGTCAGAAGATCTGTGCCAAATGCGTCTCACTGATGTTTACTGTCTTTACCTATAAAATGCAGATAAATCCCACCTGTCTTATGGTATTAGATATGTGCATGAAGTGCTCCTAAATCACTGAAACAAAGATCAGCAGACTATGACCTGTGGGCTGGCCATCTGTTTTATAAATATTGGACTCAGCCAATGCTGAGTTCAACTGCTTTCATGAAACAACCATTCAGCTGAGTAGTTGTGACAGATCACAAGGCCTTCAGAGCTTACAATATTTACTTTCTACCTCTTTACGGAAAAGTTTGTTGATAACAGCATTAAAAGTATAAATATGCCATCTGCAGTAATTTTAGTCTGTTTTGTGTGCTCTGTGCCACTGGTACTTAAATTGTCCATGACACAGAAGAGAAGTTCAATAAAAACTGTATTTTAAAGTTCCTTCAGAATATGTACAATAGGAATCTTAGAATTCTGCAAGCAGAATAAGAATGGAGTAAGAAGTAAACAGTGAAGGCTCTTAGAACTTTTCTGCAAGTGTGGTAAGCTGAAAACATAACCTTAATTTGTAGTTAAAATCTCAAATTTTATGACCAGTGTCCCATGCATTATGAGAAGTAAAATAAATATAGGGACATGATTCCTGACCAAGAAACTCCTAATGGTCTGAAGTTTCAAACACGTATGCCAGAAATGCATGATAGTGACCTATCAATTTGACACTCTGTTCATTTTCCTCATCAGTAAATGGAGGGAATTAAATTTCATGATCATTAAGAGCTCTTCAGCTCTATCCATTAGAATTGTAGGATAATTACATAACAACTTTGAAAGATACAGAAACAAATGATTATGCTGAAGACCTCAGATACTAAGGTTAATTAAACAGGATACATATGATGAGGAATTGTTGGACAAAAACATGGTACGGTGGGAATGGATAATGGAGAATGTTAAAAGACTGAGCAAAGAAAGCTGGAGTTGATTAGACAGTAAATTACTTAAAATTCTGGAGTATAGCAATGACACTGTGACAGAATCACAGTAATTATTGTCATTATTTCCTAAAGATGAACGCATCCAGAAGGACAAACAAGAGTAAGGAAGACCATCCAGAAAGCTGGGGCAGTATTCAGGAGCTGGAGTTATGCCAAGGTAATTTTATCCCTGCCTCCATTTTTTTTTTTTTACATTTGTAAGACTGAATATTTTACAGTACAATCTCCATTTTGCATGTGGCTCCCGACTCTCCAGGCAGTGAACAGGGACAATCTGTAGGAGGACCTTTCAAAGGCAGTTTGCAGCCAAGAAAGTGACAAATATGCTCCATTATGATAATAAATGGAATGTAATAATTAAATGGAAAATGAACAACTTTCCTGAAAGTGCTTTGAGCCAAGGATTCTGACCTTAGAAAGATGTAAAAATTCACTCAAATTTTCCTCTAAAAGCTTTAAGTTAATTTTTGATGTAATCACTAAAATGCAAATATTAACAGAAAATAAGAAATAAACCAGAAAAATTTCTCCATGTTTACAGAAAATCATGATTTCTTGCCATGTTGGAAAACAATGCCACCATTTCTTACAGAGGATATAACACAGCTAAAACAAATGAGCTTCAATAAAAAAAATTTTCAATTAAAAAAATCTAAAAAATACTTTATGAAAGACTAAAAGGGGATGTAACTGAAGGCTACAAAACCATGATATTCTTGCCTAAAGGGAAAAACATTTGTTCATGCCATACCATTAAACCAGGGGACCGCTGTTAATTCTTTAAGCCTGAGAACAAAGAAGATATGGATTATGTTTAATTGTGGCTACTCCATCTACAGAATACTTGAGAGGAATCAGAGTTACAGAGTGAAGTATCTTCAAAAAGGTTCCAGAAACTATGGAGAGATTTATTAGAGAAACTAGAAGGTTTGGTGGTACATCCCTACCTAACCTGTTGAGCTTGACATCACAGAGGACCAACTAAGCCAGCCCACAACACTTCCCTTGGTGATGCTTTCTGAAAGAGAAAACTGGATGAAGCATGGGTCTGACCCAGCATGGCAATTCTTATTTTCTTACTGCTGATGACGACAGATTGACTGTAGTTCGTGTGTAAACATTATTTCTGAAATGGGTGAAAAAAATGAAAGATATTACTATTGCTTTTCCCTATAGAATAGCTTGAAAACCGTGACTATTGTAAGATATACTCTGCAACTGGATCACTGTATCAAGTTCTACGTCATTATGCCTGAATACTATCAATGAATAATCCAGAAAAAAATATTTAACTATAAATTTAGTTACATTAAGCAATTAAATAAAATGTGAACTATTACTATATATCAAATTCCACTTTAGCCATCATCAGCTTTGAATAATGGGGAATATGGTACACAGTCTATTGTCCCCTGATTTTAAGGGGCCAATCATGTTCATTTATTCTTTCAAATTATTTTGCTCTGGGTTTTGGAGCATGTGATCCTCCTAGGAAGTAACCAACAGACACCTACCTATAAATTAACATGACCAAGAAACAGTCCAGCCCAGGAGTTTGAAAAGCACATCAAAAATACTTATATAAGCACATCCTTATAATCTGGCTAGCATTAAGAATATCTTTACTGGTACATACTGACCGAACTGAATCACAGCTTTTTGTATTCTGTAAACATCAGAGAATAAGGATAAGACTATACAGTGGTGGTGGTAGAAAGTTTCATTCCAAAATTAGACTGAATGAGATAAAGACAATTTGATGCACAGGAACTAAACTAGGCATATAAAAAACATTTCACACAGAGTAGACATAAAATCCTGTATCTGTCACTGGAGTAGGCTAGAATTATATTACTAGTTATTAAATATTACTCATGCTAGAGAAAAAGATTCAGGAAAGCTAGGAAAAGGGAACTCACAAAAGTTCATGTTCTTTCCTCTATACAAAGCTTGTAACAAAAAGGAAGACATAATCTGACTTGATGTATTATATCCCTATCTTTTTCTCCTTTTATTGTCATCTACATTCAACACTCAAATCTTACTTTGGTTTCTGAGACCAAAACGTACACTGACAAAGAAAAGCATTAATTTTCCTTCCTCATTAAAGAGCCTCTATTAGGCATATCTAATTGTAGAAAAGATAGTCTCTCTTCTTTCTAATTCTCACGTCTTTCAAAATACCTTTGATTTTACTGAATGGAATAGAATTTAACAAAACGTTATTTCACAGGTGTTCGGATCCATTTCTTCACAGGGGTACCCAATGAAAACATGTATTCCAAATCTTGCTTTAATTATACGTTTGTTGTCTCAAATAATATGAACTATGGTTCACAATGTTTTGTTAAGACCTTGAAAAGTCTAACTGCCCTCTGAATATATGTAATACCCAACTTAAACTATGGTATAATCTACCATAAAAATAATATTCTGAAAATCCTAATTCTCAAGAAAATTATAGGAATGCTTAGCAAAAATACATATATAACTCTAAAGAAATTAACTCACGTTACACCAGGATGAAGATTATATTTCTTTTTTCCAAATCGTGTTTGTTGCGCAAAGAAATCGTAACGTTCAGATTTTTTCCACATGTAATAGAATGCTACACATTCACCAACTGACCTTGTTCGGACCTGTAAGAAACAAAATGCATTACTTCGTTAATGGAGTCATTTCATGAAAATCATCTGAAGTTTGAAAGGAAATTTACTCCTTAACTGACATATAATACTGTGTATAAAATACAATACTGCAGCAGCTGTGTTGAAAGCTATCTTCCTAAACTTTCATTAGGAGAAATAATACAATGACAGCAGGTCTTCAGATATTTAGTATTCTGCTTTTCAAAAAGCTACTATCAAAAACAAACAAACAAACAAACAAAAAAAAACAAAACACTACTATCATCCTAATTTACTATAAAAATACTCTTCTTCTTCAAATGCCTGGAAGTGTCATTCAGGTAAGAAGGAGCATCAGGCACAGTTGGCAAATACATTTTTACTCAAAGAGCACCTAGGGAATCTACCTTTAAGGTTCATTTCACAAGATTCAAAAGCAATATAGATTCCGTTAATTTACTTTCTAGGAAGTCTGAGAATATGCCACACTGGTGAGCAGCTATTAAGATAATGGTAATGCTCTGTTTACGAGGTTACTCCTGTGGCTTACTTACCATGCCCTCCTACTTGTGCAACTTGGATGGCTCCCTTCATGTTCAGCATCTATGGGATTAATGTGATGTTGACAAAAAAAATCTCATTTTTGCTAGCTTCAAGAGCTGGTAAGGTTGATATACAAAGTACTAGCAGTTTAGAAGGCAAAAAAAGCTATTTGCCTGTTTTGAATGAAAGATGGTATTGCTTTAAGCCCCAAATTTCTGATCTTGAAATAGGTAGCCTGTGGAACTGGTTTTATCTAAGAGCAATTGAAGCAATTGACGATGACATCCTTCCTTACCTGACATTTATTTTTCTTCCTTCCTCTCTGCTTGCACTTTACAACCTTGGCCCATGTTGCTGTGAGATTGACAGCAATGGGGCTTTTATATATATATATACATATATATAAAAATATTTTATAATCTATATTTATATAATATAATATATACATATAAAACATATTATATATATATATAAAAGCCATATATATATATATATATCTTCTCAAGCTCTTTTTTGTCTCCTATTAGAATTTTATTTCTAGATAGATTCAAGCCAAGTCAATTGTATCTTACTGAAAGCAAAAATGGAAAGACACTTTGGGACATGCAGAATTAACATTATGAAAAATCTTCCAGAAAATAAGCCATCATAATAGAATTTACGGTTAATATACAAACTTTATACACTGATGTTTTCACTGGGCTATTCTTCTCCTTCTTAAACAATTACTGTTCCTCCGATCCTTCACATACACATGCCAAATGACTTCTACTCTATAATAAAATATCAGCATCCCCTAAATTTATAAAGCAATCAATGTCTTATTTTTAATACTGTTAAATTTTTTTCTTTTCTTCGGCTCACATTTTTTTTTTCTTGGCTTAGTTTCAAGTCAACTAGTAAGTTCTTTTTCTTTCAAAAACAAACAACAACAAAAAAAAATCACACTGATTGATTGCTGTTGCTACCTTCCAGTCCCACCTCCATCCCAGTTATCCAGCATGGTTTGGTTCAATAGTGTTTGAATTCAAACATGAATGCTTAGAAAAATCTTTGTTCCTTTTAATCATGAAACAATAGTGGGGGAAAAAAGAAATAATATGGCTAGGCATCAACATAATAAATTTGTTTTCCTAGAATTCTGATTGTATTTAAGGTTATCAGATAGATACTGCATTAGGAGTATATATTATTGACACCAATGAAACTATTCTCCAAGTTACCCTACATACTAAAGACTCAAAACTTCTCTTAGTTACATCTAATCTCAGCTACAAAAATCCAACAAGATAATAAAGGCTGAACTAATATATATTAATGTTTGACAAAACTAAGAAAAATTGAACTCAGGATTTTTAAGTAACTACTTTATTCAATGAATATAAACTAATGCTAAATACTAGTCAAACAAAGCAATGAGATACTATACAGTCACATCTAGAAGTATTAACAAAAAATGTGGTAAAAGAATATTTAGAGCCTCAAATAACAACCTTACATCCTTTCAACATAGTCCTGGACAAGCTTCCACACAAAACATAAAGGCTATTTTTTTAGGAACTACAGAAAGCCAACCTCCCTGTCTTTGTGTTCAATAAAAAATAACACAATGTTTATAAGTCTAGGAATTAATGAACTATATTTAAGCCTTGAGACTTTACCTGTCCTAGTATCCTAAGGGAAGAGTGAATTTTTCTATATATTTGTATATTTATATGTTATATATGTATTTATAATATATATAATTTACATATATAAATATTTATATATTTTCTATATATTTGTTTAGATTTAAAATCTTATCTGGTTTTAGTTTAAGAATTAAACTCCAAATCAAATCTAAAATAATTATCAAGTTCTCTGGGGGTATATCCTGTGTAACTCACATTACCAATATGGAATGATAAGCATGTTAAATAAAATTGTAAATCTATGACAATAATATACAATACTGCTAACCTACTTAGATACATGCTTCTGGAACAGACAGTGAGAGGGAGAGACAGAGAAAAAGGTCTTCCTTCCGTTGGTTCTCTCCCCAGCCAGCCACAACAGCTAGAGCCGTGCCGATCTGAAGCCAGGAGCCAGGTGCTTTCTCCTGGTCTTCCATGTGGGTGCGGAGGCCCAAGCACTTGGGCCATCCTCTGCTGCCTTCCTGGGCCACAGCAGAGAGCCGGCACAAGAACCGGCGCCCACATGGGATGCCCGTGCCACAGGCAGAGGACTAGCCTACTGCTCCACAGCATCCGCCCCATTATTAAATTCAATCTTGATTAAAACCAGAGTAAATCTAAAGTATCTGATTATAGATCACTCAAGACTTACGTGCTTTTAAAGTTTCAAAGTTAATGTAAAGGCTATCTTTAAAATATCTTGTTGCAGACTATGAAAAACAGCTACTATGAAAAACAGTAACTTCATTGCACATACACATACCTTACACAGAAGTTGATTGAAAGATGTAAATTAATCTAGTTCTTTAACACTTCCAATACTGTGCACTAAAAACAGACACCTGGCAAATTTATATCAGAAAATTCAAGTATGCTTATTATACTAATTTGCTATAAACTAAAATATTATATTACTCAACGTAAAACCTTTAAACCAGAAAACATAGCAAATTAAGATATACAATACAAAGGGACACCAGGCTAAATTTCTTTTTTGTAAGAAAGAAAACATATATTACTTACTTTATTAGCCTGAATCAAATGAAAATCCTTTCCATAGGCCTTCAGCCCTTGTTCAAAATTTCTGCACTCTTCTTCTGTCCATACAGACAATTCCTCTGACAAAATATGGAAGAAAAACTATTAAGCAATAATACTCTAAATATTGCATGTGACAAACAAAACTGCAAATAAAATTGTAACTTTCTGATAAAAATAGGGAAGCATTTTACTCCTTAGCTCTATTACTGATTAAAGAGAAGATAAAGTAAAAAAATTTTTGATTTCATAAAATTTTGAATGATATTTGATCCCTATCTCTCCACTTTACCTTGGGTCTCTCTCTAATTCTTTATGATCCAACTATATTAAAAATCTAATTCCTTAAATGCAGTAAATTTTTTCTTACTTCAAACTTTACCTGATGTCCTCCCTCCCCCATTTTGCCTTTAATTATTCCCTGCCTCCTATACCACATCTGCCAACACTGAGGTAAGTCTTTCTTAATCCAGCCGAAATATTTCATGCTGGAAGTTTTCCCTACAATGTGCATTCTCTTCCCCAAACTAGGTTAAGTTCCACTGCAACAGATTTTAATAGTACTTTCTAATTCTTGGAAGAATTCACCATAACTATTTTTCAGTTTCCCTCCCCATGCTTCTTGGCACCACAAAGGCAAGGATTTTATTATAGTTATGTCCTCAGAACTCAGGCTCTTAAATCTTTGTTGAATAAATAAATATCTTTCACTTGTTAATTATTTAAGAATAGTACTCTTTGTGAAGCAGGGTGGGAATCAGAATTAGAATAAAAAAGGAAAATCAGGATTTTAGTTATGGCTTCATAATTTATGAATTATGTCTGCATGGACCAAGACACTTTAGTTCAAAGTCTCTGATTCACTCATTTCTATTAGATTACTTAGCTCAGAGGGTTGTTATTAAGATCAACTAAGAAAATATTTATAAATATGCTTTAAAATTTTGAGATGTGGTTTTATATTTTTCTTAAATGGTCTTATTTTCTCTTTCTTTTTAAAAAAGATTTATTTGTTTATTTCAAAGTCAGAGTTACAGAGAGACAGAGAGATCTTCAATCCATGGTTCCCTCTCTATATGGCCTCAGTGCCAGGCCAGGCCGAACCCAGGTACCAGGAGCTTCATCCAGGTCACCCACGTGGGTGGCAGAGGCCCAAACACTTAGGCCATCTCCTGCTGCTTTTCTCAGGTGCATTAGCAGTGAGCTGGATCACAAGTGGAGCAGCTGGGACAAGAACTAGCACCCATATGAAATGCCAACATTACATGTGATGGCTGTATGCATTATGCCACAATGCTGGCTCCTGGCCTACTTTCTCATAGAAGGGTGGCTTTAATTGCATTCTTCAAAATACTTTATACAAATAATACTTATATTCTGTAAGTATTTATTGAATTCAGAAAGATCAGTATTATTAAACTCTTACGTATCTAAGTAAACTGAAAAGTTTTTTAATTTTCTGTCAAACCATGAAAGCAAAATTTAGTATATATATGATTACCTCTTGCTGCTTTTACATTGAATCTTAATCTTCTCAATGCTTCTTCTGTATCAAAATTGCATTTAACCAATTCATATAAAGCCTAGAAAATTAAAAAGTTTCAAATATAATTCAGACTATGAACAGTTCAATAGTGTAGTTTCTTAAGAGAGTAAAGGTTTTTCCAATATCCAGTGTCTGGTTCCATCCTCTCTTGAGGGTAAATAATTTTACTAAATACAACATATGGAACACCAAGGAAAAATAAACATAAAATTTAATCTTGATAATTAGTTACCTTTAAACATATACAAAGTAGGATGTATAAGTACCCAAACGTTGGAGCCACATATTTCAGGAATTAAGAAATAATAATCTCTTCTTTGTGGCTGTTTGAGCTTTCCATTGTAAGATAATTATAAACAAATTAAGAAAAGAAAAACAATGATTATAGGTTTGTGAAGACACTGGTTTTATCTCAAATATAATTAAACATTACCCCAGATGAATTCCACAACTTGAATATATACATACTCAAGGATAGCCACAGTAGATAGTATACAGAGGAAACATGAAACATCAGTGAGTGTGCAAACAGTATCTTATGTAGATATTAACCTCAGATTCTGTCAATTGTATTATAGGAATTGGATTAAATCTATAAATGTGTCTAATTTCTCTGAGAGCAATTCTCACTGTCATTTCTTACTCACACACCTGTTCATTGTCTTTTATGTGAGATCCCTCAGGAATTGCTTCAACTCCTTTCTCATCCCCTGTTCTCCTCGAGGCATCCTTAAGAAACACAATCACTTTATCTTCTGGTAAGTACTCAGGGTCCCACAGGAGCTGATCATCATTTTCATAAACTGAAATAATAAAACACATTATCAATAAAAACTGCCAATAACTGTGGCAGTTTGCTTTAACATACCACTGAAGAAGTAACATGCTTAATAACCAAATGTTGAAAACCAAGAGGTCAAGTGTCCTACTACCTGCTTGATTTCCTTACTGGGAAAAGTATGGTTCTGAGGGTAGAGAAAGGAATTAAAGTGAAGCAGAGTTGAAGAAAGTTTTATTTTGCTTTATTTTTCATTATGAAAAGGAATTAAGTTACTTCCTAAACATCCTATGTACCAGGCAATATGTTTATTTTCACATAAATTACCTTGGGCTTCCCTTCTCCTGCCAAAAAACATTACACTTTGAAACCTTTTACTCTTGCACCTTTCTCTGAAGGGAGGAAGGAACCTCCACTGTGATATGGCCTTGACTAAACAAATTCAGAATCGGTGAACTCAAGGGGCTTCCATAGCCTAGACAGCTCATAGCAAGAGTCTTGGGTGATTGCTGACATCATAAATAAGAGTGCCAATTGTTAAATCAACAACGGGAGTCACTGGGTTCATGCTCCCCACGCAGGATCTCTGTCCTTAATATGTTTAACTATGAAACTCAAAAACAACACTACTAGTCGAACAATACCCTATACCTGGTTCGGTTGTGTGAGTGCAACCTGTTGAAATCCCTGCTTAGTATATACTAAGTTGATCTTCAGTATATGAAGGTAATTGAAAATGAAACGTGATGAAGAGCGGGATGGGAGAGGGAGTGAGTGAGGGGAGGGCCACGGGAGGGAGGGAGGTCGGGCGGGGGGGGGAAGCCACAACAACACAAAAGGTGCATTTTATATTCTACTTAAAACTATTGGTTGAACTCTGTAATTAATACACAATTACTCTTAGGTGTTTAATTAATGCTATAACTAGTACTCAAACAGTATTTTACACTTTGTGTTTCTGTGTGGGAGCAAAATGTGGAAATCTTTACTTAACATATGCTAAATTGATCTTCTGTATATAAAGATAATTGAAAATTAATCGTGATGTGAAGGGGAAGGGGAGAGGGAGTGGGAGAGGGGGGCGTTGTGGGTGGGAGGGAAGTTACGGGGGGGAGGAAGCTATTGTAATCCATAAGCTGTACTTTGGAAATTTATGCTCATTAAATAAAAAAAAAAATGCAAAAAAAAAAAAAAAAGAAACCTTTTACTCTTTTCTGTTTCCTAAAATAGATATACCTATAGTACAGCTTAAAGGATGATACCTAGAAAATTTTGTTTAACAAATGTTACTCCTATTCTATTGGTACAATTCTGGTTAGACTCTAAATTGTGAATACAGTAAAACTCCAATGGTAAGGGAATCTGGGTATTCTGCTATCGACTTCTGGTCTGGGCTCCTGGGCTCAACCTCTATTTTCTAAGGGGAGCAGACTGTGGTTTTCATATTATTACAGTGGTGGGTGCATGATGAACGAGGCCATACAAGGGGAACCTACTTACATTTGGGCCCTACGAAACAAGCACACACTACTTGGAAGATGTGAGTATTTCTGTAATCACTACCAATATTCTCCAAGTCCCAGTAAGAATAGGAAACAAATATCCCTGCTTAAGCCTGGAAGACAACCAAAGGCCAGAGGACACCAAATATCATATCAGATCCCTGGAACTGTGGCTAGCTAGACAGGTTAAGACTAGCCCTGAGTATTTCATTAACCTGAGAATAATATACAATTTTATGTAACTACAATACATTCAATAATGACCACAAGATGAGAACAACTAGCAATTCCACAGAGTAAGCCACACTGCTTTTCCTGGTTCTAGACACAGACCAACTGAAAAATATTTCAGTTAAATTTGCACTCTACATAGAATATGGACCCTGTGCCTTTGATCTTAATAGGCAACAGCGGTTTTAAAATTATGATTAAACCAAAAAATACAGGAAAAATACCACTTACATATGATATGAAGATGAGAACTCTGAATAGCAATAGTAAGAAAAAAATAATGTCATATTAAATGACATGAACATGCTAGATTTTCAAAATCTCAATTACTGTAATGTAATGGAATTTTCTGAAACTATTTCACACTCTAAATCAATTACCAAACCTAAATATTAGAACTTTTGAGAAGCAATCAGAAATATACCCATCTAATATTACCAGCAGATAATTTTTATGTGATTAGAGCTTAGAATGCAGGAATTCACTAGCAAGAAGTGCTCTTAAAGCATCTTGTTAAAGATTCTGACTCCACAGGTATGACAGGTCCCTATGTCTGCAGTTCTTACTGATTCACAAGTGAATATGATGCTGCTTGTTTTAGACCACACTTCAAGTAACAAGGCACTGATATATTGACTTTTCTATTTTATAATCCAGAATAATACTAGAAAATTCAAACTAAGCTTATCAAATAAGCAAAATGATTTGTCAAAATAGTTTCACGAGATCCACTGTAAGTATCTAGTTAGGGGAAAGAATGGAAGGTGGGAGCTGCATGCAGGATGCAGGTTTATCACACATTTGACCAGAGAAATGAAAAAATGATGTAGGAAGAAGCTGAGACAGACTAACACCAAAAAACCAATAACAAACTTCCACAATATGCAAAATTAATTCCCAATGAATTATTATTAGCTACCAGTTTTACTATATGCAAAATTAATTCCCAATGAATTATTATTAGCTACCAGTTTTACTAATGTCTAAGGAAATTCTCTAATCAATATATGAGGAGATTGGGTCCCTGCCACTGTGTGGGTGACCAGGATTGAGTTCCTGGCTCTTGGCTTTGGCCTGGCCTAGTCAGGCCCAGCTGTGGCAGGCCCTTGAGAGTGTGAACCAGCAGATGAGAGATTTCTGTTAGTCTCTTTTAGCCTTTCAAATAAATAAAAATTTATTATAAGGATGAAAATGCTGATGTATATAATTAGCACTATGGTGTAATAACGTGGCTTACAACAGAAATCTCCATATTCTTAAAAGGTAATACTCTGAATAATGACATGACCTTTAACTTGCCTAGCTGAGTTTTCACACATAGGTTAAATGAATGTTGCCTGTTTGAATAGTGCTTTCACAGACTGAGCATGTCTGCCTGAAATCTAAAATACTCCAAAACTGCTCTGGTCTTAGCTTTTAATATCAGCGCTATTTAATCAGTACCAACTAAGGATACTGAACTTGTTCATTTTTCAGTTAAGGAATGTAAGAACTATAATAACCTGCCAAACATTCATTAGAAACAATTCACATGGTCTTTTCCAAATCACCACCTAATCCCCAGCAATTTAAGGTTTACGTCACCCAAGCATAAAAATTTGGGAATATGGCTAATCATATCTTTCCCTTGACCTTTTTCCTTTTCCCTAAATAGCCCATTTAATTCTCAATTTATCTACTACAGGGTTTTCAATATTAGCTGTACTGACCTTTTGGTCAGATAATCCTTAGTGGTGATGGGGGACAGGGGGGCTGTTCTATGCATTGTAGCTTGTTTACCAGCATTCCTTATGTAGTTTTGTCACAAAACATCAGTTTGAGTATATGAGAGAAACAATGAAACACACATAGAACTGAAAAACCAGTTACATTAAGAAACAGAATGCTTTTCATTTGTCTAGTATCACTTTCAAAATTAAACCCTTCTCAAATGGTCTGGTTGGGGTTGACACTACCCCCAAGAGTTCCAGGAATAAATAAATGACCCATGGCAAGTCAGAAAACTCATTCATCTTTCTGGTCACAGTGAATACTTCTGGCTTGGCACATGACTCAAGATGAGTCAACAGGGGCTCTCTCTAGGACTTTTGGGGAATGTACTCTAATTTTAAGGACTGTGTAAAGTATAGCCATCTTAGTCCATCTTACAATAAAGTGAGGGGTAGGGGGTAGCCTTATAGCATAAGAGACCCTAAATCCAATTATATCTGAAGCCATTCAGGACAGATTTCTAGTAAATTCTTGTTTGCTTAAGGTGAACTGGATTTTTGCCACCTGCAAGTAAAAAGGACATCACTAATATTTTCTGAAAATCTGATTAATAAAACCTAAATACAATGTAAAGACTAGCTGAATATTATTGCTGCTCACTAAGCACCTACCACATCAAGACACTATACTATATGTAAAAATATTACATGTAACTCTGTAAATATATGCTATTATTATTGTATTATAGATGAAGAGAACAAGTTCAGTAAGCATTACTAAGGTCAAATGCCTGAGTACTAATTCAAATTTACTGACTCTATTATCAGTTCTGTTACTGTATTAACTCAGGCACCAAATGTTTACTAAGTTCCTATATGGCAAGGATCAACATAGTACTAAGGGTACAAAAATGGATTTTAAAAAATGGTTGTAAGGGCTGGCGTGGTAGAACAGGGTAAGTCATCACTTACATCCTGAATCCCATATTGGTGTCTCACTGCAAATGCATATGCTCTAATAACTTAAGCCCCTGCCACCTATGGGGGCTCTAGGCTCCTTCCTTAAACCTGGCCCAGCCCAGGCACTGTGGCCATTTGGGGAGTGAACCAGCAGATGAACAATCTCTATCTCCCTCCCCTGTCACCCTGCCTTACAAATAAATCTTTTTAAAAATACAGCTATAATGTAGTCGGCCCTCTGAATCTATGGGTTCTATATCTGAGGCTTTACCAACTGTAGATTGAAAATATTTAAAAAAAAGAAAATATTCAGAAAAATACCTTGTCTGCAATAAACTTTTTTTAGAAATTATGATTCCCTAAACAATATGGTGTAAAAAGTATTAACATAAACATTTACATTGTATTAGACAGTGTAAGAATTCTATAGATGACAAAGTACACAGAAGGATATGCCTAGGTTATATGCAAATTATGTCATTTCCCTAAGGGACTTGAGCATCCACAGATTTTGGTATGCACGGGGCAGAGGGGATCTTGGAACCAATCCCATATGGATACCAGGGGAAGACTTAAGCTTTGGCATAAATGATAATACAGATATACTGAAGAAAAACTTAATA